TCGGGGGGGGGGAGGGGCGGTAGATTTTTTCATAGCATTTAGAACAAAGTAGTCATATCTAAAAAGTGAAAAAATAACTTTAATTTCTTCTCAATACGCTGCTTAAATTGAACATCGATTACACTCTGCTTATAGCACTGACCAGCCCCCGAAGACACATAACTACTGTGGGTAGAATCTGAATGGTAAAATATTTTTACATTAATTGAATCTATAAAACCAAAGTGGGTGTTGTTTGTTTGTTTATTTGTTCAGCACACCTATTAGATCGGGTACATGCAAAACTTCTTGACAAGTTCTTGACAAAGTTTGTTGTTCACTTTCATTTTAGCGTGAAAATTTGAGTCATCTCATTAAGCAGGTTTCAAGTTATCGCTGTATTATAACTATTAAAGGAACGCAACTGCCGCAGGAATTTAAACAATAGTTTTCCTGTTCTTTACACACACACACACACAAAAAAAAAAAAAAAAAAAAAAACAACAACAACAACAACAAAGAAAACATTTGGAAAAAAAAAGAATTTCTTTTAAATGTATACTAAACGGTTTTCAAATAGGTGTGAAAATTAAATCATGTCTAATAATTTATATTCGATCTATGGCTGGTGTAAAGAAAGCAACTACGTCACACTCATAGATAAACAATGAAGTTCATTAGTGCGTTTGGTGCGCTTTTTACAAGGTTTTATTTATCTCACTGTCTCTGCTATTCTGTCGTCAGTCTGTCTGTCTAGATCGAAACGCCCGAGCTAAATTTCGACACTTCTAACTGACAGATTTGCTTTAACGTTGGCACGTGGGTCAAAACATGAAGACAATGCAAAATGACATTAAATATGATTTAACTGGTGGCCTGATTAATTTTCTATCAATTAATTAAAATTGTGTCCAAATTATTATGTCATCAAACTATTAATCTCCCCTAAACTTTCTCGAAAATTCTTATTTTCTTATAATTCTTTATCGTGATGGCACATTACGATAAAGGAATGATTTTTAATCGATTTTTATTTACCTAAACTTTTTTAAATTGAATATAATTTCGTAGAAAAAAGAATTGCAGACTAAATGAACGAAAATCAGTATGTGTATAATAGTGCGGAATATTATTAGTACTTTATAAATTCATATGTGGTTTTTTTTTAGAAATCGGAAATAGCGTAAATTACTACTTTTTGTCAACGGGAATTATTCAAAATTTGAGATAAGGCAGAGAATTAAATATTTTACTTTTATGTGAAATTTCGTTTATCTATCTGAAACAGTACTCAAGTTATAGGCTTTTGAAAAATTAAAAGTAGAATAAGTTCCACATTCGGTTATTCGAAATCGCTGAAAAGTTGATACATAACTAAAATTTTGATATAATACTTATATATGAAATTTTATCAACCTAGCTGTAATGGTACTCAATTTATTGCGTTTACAGACAGACAGACAGACACACAGACACACACACACGCACACACACGTACACACACACACACGCACACGCGCACGCGCACACGCACGCACACGCACACACACACACAGACACACACACACAGAGAGACATACGGACAGAATTGCAAAGTCCAGTTGTTCCGACTCGATTACACATAAAACGCCACAATTTAAATAAATCTGGATTTATAATGTTGTCCGGATTAAAATAAGTCCTCTATACTTCGGATGTGATGTAGGACTGAGATGTAAAAGGGTGAAAACTGTCAAAATAGTATGTGATTTTAGTGCACGCTTGCAATACCTTCTCTATACACTGTATGCGAGAAAGTAAAAATTTAAAGTACTGAAAAAAATTCATTAAAAATACGTTTTATCAACAAGTTTTTATGTACTAATGCACTAAAAAAAAGAAAACAAAATTATACTCTAGTATTTAAATAACTATAAAGAAATGTGTGGCAGCGGACGTAGGTGTCACGATTTAGGTCACCTGTTTGCAATGGGTCTATATGTTTATTCTACCCGACCTCAAAATATGATTGGCAAAAAAAAAACATTTTATAATTTTAACATCGTGTCAGAGTGATGGTGATCAGCTCGGTCTGAAGCGCGGCACAGATGTGCTGTTATGAACATTAAATTTTAATTATATAGAGTTATTAAACTTAAGCCAGCGTAAGAAATTTACGCGACAATTATTTTTATTAAATGTATTATATTCTAATTTAGCCAATTCCATTCAATTTTAGCTATATGCTTTATTTAAGTTAGGTATTAATTATATTGAAACGTCTGTTCATATTATATAACACTTAATATGTGCGGGTCGCATTCGTTCTTGTATTAGATATAGAGTATGCTGTATGTATACAGTGGTTTGTTACAATTTGTTTTAGTTTACGTTAATGTTACGGTTTGCAAATGTTTGCTATTCCGATATTTTATGTTTGTATATTTTAATTATATCGCATAGAATTGTTGCTCAAGGAGAGAGAGAAAGTACCAAACGGTTTTCAGTTTTTGGTGTGACTCTGGTGTTTATTGCATTTGTGTAACAAACCGTGATAAGGAGGAATGGCAGTTGATGTGCAGTAATTTTTTAGAATCACTTGCCGTTGCTGTTTTTAGTTTAGCAATGTGCAATTTAATTTTGCTCATAATGTATACATAAATGCGTTAACCTTTACATTTCAACATCTTTATAAATGACTGGAGCAAAGCCTAGCCGATAAGGACTAGTCTTGAATAAAAAATAAATAGCCTCCCATTTAGCAACTTGGTAAGAAAACACACACACACACACACACACACACACACATATATATATATATATATATATATATATATATATATATATATATATACTCAGACTCAAGCATAGTCACAAGCATATAGGCTACACTTAAACATACAAGTGCATAAAAAAATAAAGTGTGCATGTTATTTACAAACTATTCAACAATATTTGAAATTGACTGCATTTATTTAATTTTATATTGATTTTCTTTTATGAAAACAGTAACATATAGTAACATAGGGGTCCAAAAATTAAAACCAAAACGAATAAACTTAATTTTTTCTCCAAGGCCAGCTCCATGAAATACTAATGGATATCTTTATCTTTATATCTATAAAAACGAAAAAGAGTGTATTTATTTATTTAAAAAATTAATTAATACAATTTATCTACTAATTTTTATTTAATTATCTCATTAATTTATGAGGTTGAATGGGTGTAGTACAATGAAGGTGCTTTAAGATTACGAATCAAATCCTCAAAAACAAACTGTAACAATGAATCATGCCTACCAAATCTTTTTATGTTTGATTCCTAAAAAGAAAATTTAAACATTTAAACTGTTATATAATTCATGAACAAATATATAAAAAAAAATTTAAAACAAATAATTAAATTTTAAAGTTGTATCACATTACAGTAGTTTTAGCTCCGGCTCTAATTAGTAAAATTAACGCATAAGAAAATATAAAATAAAATGATCTTTTTTAAATGTATATATCAATTGTCCATGTAAGAATAGCACATACATAACAATGTACTTAAATTATTACAAACATTGTATAAATCATTATTAACGAGCCGACCCGCGGCATATCATACGCCGCTATTTAGTTGTTGTTTTTTCTACTTTTCAGTTATTCATAATTTGTGAATTCGACACTACCAACGCTGCCACTGAAAATATTTCTTTAAAACACTAGAAGCAGCTCGGTAAGGACGATAACCCCCCCCCTTTCACCCCCACCCCTCCATAAAGTAAACTCCACTTAGTTACCCCCCCCCCCCACCATTAAAATCGTTTCAAACTAAATTATCTGCCCCTAATAGTCGTCACTAAACCCGGCTGTGTTTGTAATGTTTGTAAACATAAAGAGTGAACCACAGCTCACCAGACCATGTAGGGGTGGGGACGGTAGGGAGCGCGTTTGCAGCTTGTTTTCTAGCGGCTCCCAGAAGAGAATTATATATATAGATATTGTAAAGTTTTGAAAAATGTTTATTGTTTACATTGTCAGATTGCACAATATGACCGGATGATTGAGCTCTACTGATGCCCTAAAAAGTCACTAGTTTTGATCTCGGGTTGAGTTTAACGTATGGCCCTTGATACACCTTACCCTAATGGAAAACTGACCGATGCTAGAGAAAGTAAAGACGGCTGGGTTTAGTACTAGCTACACTATCCAAATGTCGTGTTTACAGAAGAAAGTAGCTTCTACTTAAAATGCAATACTGGCCGTCTGGTACAAATTGATAGTTTTCTATAATAGTAATCTATAATAATTGTTCATTTGCCGAATACTGAAGTTAAAACTGGAATACTATTCTCTGCGTCCCAGCATTAGCAACAGTCAAGCCATTGCATACCGGCTATACGATACAGTTTGCTCAAAACACATTTTGGAAAACGTAAACAAACTACTGTATATAACAATATAACATGGTTTTTTTAAAGGCAAAATTTTTTCGACAGAATTGAAAAAAGGGATCAAGGTATTAACTGCGGTATCAATTGTTTTTTTTTCTCTCCAAATTTAGTTTTTATTGCGATGCTTAATTTTTATTTAGAGATTTAAATAATAAATCATTTAATGGAATAATTTTTTTTTGCAAGTAAATAAAAGTAAATAGCAGCTTGTTTTCGTCCACATATAAGACGTTATTTTGAAAAAGTACTGACAAAATATTTGTTTTTATAACATTTTACTTACGCTCTTTCCGTTTTGCTGTGCCGTAATTAGATCAACTAAAACAAAACAAGAACGTTATGTAAATAAGAAAAAAAGGAATAACTTTCAATGGTGTACATAATGACTGAGCTATTACATAACTCGGTAATCTTAAATTAAAAACTATATACCAAGATTTATTCCAATAGAGACCTGGGTATATTTTCGAACTACATAATTTAATGTCTAATTTAAGTGTTTAGTACACTTTAAAATAGTAGAGACTACTACAACCTTAAACATATACAGGCAACTACTTTTGAGTTGTTTATGAATTATAAAAAAATATTAATTAAAAATTACCGGTGTTGTCAACTGTTTGAGTTAACATACTTGCAACATCTGCTATAGCCGCAATGTAGCGATAGAACTGTTGGCTGTTTGCTAAAAAAAATCAGACGAAAATATTATTTTAAAAAGTACTAGCAAAGTACAACATACGATGTAGTAATGAGAAGAGTTTTTCCATTTGTACTTATCGTATCTCTAAAAATATAAAATGTTCCGAAACAACATTTAATTACATTCTAATTGAGATAGCTATCCCGATTTGTTTAATTTTAAATACTTTGAACATATGGAACAGATAAAAAAAGGAACATTTAAAAAAAGTGTATATACACATACACACGCACACACACATATATATTAATATATATATATATATATATATATATATATATATATATATATATGTGTGTGTGTGTGTGTGTGTGTATAAAAGATGGTTCCTTGATAAATGATCTCAGGACAAATGATCTCAAGGACAGAAGATATCAGGAAAAAATATATAATATTTTTATATCATGTTATATATATACAATAAACTGTAATATACTACGTAAATATATATTTATTTATTTATGTAGCCTACATAGAGAAAGCTTAGCATTAACTAAAATAGAAAAATATAAATTTAATCATACGATATATTTTCTTGGCATTATCAATAAGAGTTTGAAGTATCTGTAAATAGCGTTGTATTGTTTTCGATTGCTGCTCCATTGAACCTTGTAAAAGAAAATGTGATTTTTTCGTATACGAGGCACAAATAACTAAATTTTAAAAAAAATGTATAAACATAGAGAAAACCATTTTTTTTTTACACACACATTATTGAATACAAAAGAAGGTAAAATATTAAAAAGCTGATTAGCCTGAATAAAACTAGACTTGTCAAGCATTGGCCGCATGAAACATTTTCCAACGATCTGTTTTTATTTTTTTCATTTGTGTTGAGATTGCTATTTACCACTCCACGCTATTTTCATGCAGTGTTTGTTGACTACTCTTCAGTGTTTCTTCCAGACTTTTTTCTCCGGGGGGGCACTTGAAATCTTCGGGGGGGGGGGGGCGGACACTGTTAAAAGTATATATTTTCTATATAAATTATATAAATTTCATTTCGTTCGGGGGGGGGGGGGGGCGGTAAAAATTTTTCTTCGGGGGGGCGGACACTGTTAAAAGTATATATTTTCTATATAAATTATATAAATTTCATTTCGTTCGGGGGGGCGGTAAAAATTTTTCTTCGGGGGGGGGGGGGGGGGGGGCGGACACTGTTAAAAGTATATATTTTCTATATAAATTATATAAATTTCATTTCGTTCGGGGGGGGGGGGGGGGCGGTAAAAATTTTTCTTCGGGGGGAGGGGGGTGCGGACACTGTTAAAAGTATATATTTTCTATATAAATTATATAAATTTCATTTCGTTTGGGGGGGGGGGGGCGGTAAAAATTTTTCTTCGGGGGGGCGGACACTGTTAAAAGTATATATTTTCTATATAAATTATATAAATTTCATTTCGTTCGGGGGGGCGGTAAAAATTTTTCTTCGGGGGGGGGGGGGGGCGGACACTGTTAAAAGTATATATTTTCTATATAAATTATATAAATTTCATTTCGTTCGGGGGGGGGCGGTAAAAATTTTTCTTCGGGGGGGGGGGCGGACACTGTTAAAAGTATATATTTTCTATATAAATTATATAAATTTCATTTCGTTCGGGGGGGGCGGTAAAAAAAATTTCGGGGGGGCTTCGCCCCCCCCCGAAGAGATGCCTGGAAGAAACTCTGCTACTCTTGCTCAAACGTATAGGCTTACATATGGTGACAGTGTGTAACAGTCAGTTTTTCGCCCTAACGGTAGCCGCTAATTCGAATGAGATTTGTTAATGAATGCATTTTGCCTTATTTTCTAGATTCAAAATTTAATACCCTTTACAGCCTAATATTATCTAATTATTATCTAATAAAAAAATAAGTTTTAAAAAATTACTTTGTTTTTTGACAGCTGTTCAATAAAAAATCGATTGTTTAAATAATAAAAATTATTTACTTAAATTAAAAGCGTTCAATTAAAAGTTGGTAATTGATCTGTAGTTTATTTTCATAATATAAGTGACCGATTGCACTTCATAATCGATATCGCCGTAAGCCGAATTAAAAAAAAAACAATTACCATCAACCAAGACAGAGATCGTCATACTGCTCTCGCCATCCATCGTCAGCTCTTTCAAGACACTAATTGTATTTTTATTCGAAACTGAAATAAACATATATATATATATATATATATATATATATATATATATATATATATATATATATATATAAATATATATATAAATTTAAAAAAAAATAATTATTTATATATAATTCTACAGGTAATTCCATTGTTGATTTAAACGTTTTAGTCGTACCTGTGATATTATTATTAATTGGTGTGCTTTTTGTAAAATTCTTTTGTAAAGTAAATTTTTAGTTTGAAATTTAAGTTACCTGTTAAGCCTTGTTTGGACAACATTTGAAGAGCCTGATTTTTAAGGTAGACAGTGCGGTTTCTAAATTCTTCAGCTGCAATACCTTTACCTAGTTTTACAACAATTATATTTTTTAAAAAGAACAGTAATGTTTGTTTTAAATATGTTTTGACATGTATTATTAAGTATCTTTAAGTATATAGCATATCGTTGTAAAGCAGTGCTGTCCTATTTTTTTTCTAATGATTGTAAAAACAAGTTAATTAAAAAGTCTTGTGACAATTTAAGCGCAATTTCCTTATGTTATCTAAAAATAGCTCTGTCGTAGCGTAAATCAAGAGCAGGATTAGTAAAACCATTGGTTAGTTATTAAAACGTTTTTTCTTAAAAAATTTCAGTATTTTACATGTTTTATTTACAATAGAGTTACATGACTAAAAACCATTGCGCGCCTAGCTACTGAACGTGATGACGCAGCCATTGAACGTGATGCGCAGCTATTGAACGTGATGACGCGTGTGGTATGGTTGGATAAACATGCCTACTAATTTGGTCCAAATTTTAATTAATTCCGGGAAATCCATGAAAGAAACCCGGAATTATTTTGGCCTATCTTCATCCTCGTAACTTGCTTAACATAATTGCTTTGGAACTAGTTATCGATATTGCTTCGTTGAGGAGGAGATACGACTTAAAACTGCGGACACACATCCATCCATCCATCCATCCATTCATACATTCATACATCCAGAAATGACGGGTTAATAAACGCAATTCTCTAGAATGGAAATTGCGCTAAAAAGCAGTGCGTGACTTACAGTACTTGCTATTAAGGAACTGTTTACTCTGAGCATATCAAAATAATATAAAGCTTCTCTCGGATCGAATGTGAACTAAGTGAAACAGCGGAATATATATTTTTATTATTATTGTTATTTGCTCTTACATAATTGGGTAAAGCATTATTATAGAGGAAGTATTGAAATCGTGCACAAAAATCACATAAAATCTTGACAGTTTTCACTTTTTTACTTCTCAGTACTTCATCATATAAGGCCTACGGAGTATAAGATACTCAGGCAAAAATTCTAAATTACACGTAACCTTGTCGAAATAACTGGGTTTTGCAATTCTATCCGTGTGTGTGTAAATGTGTATGTATGTCTGTGAACACGATAACTTGGGTACCGTTTCAGCTACGTTACATCATCTTTATAGTTCTGTATCAATTTTTTCAGCAATTTCCCGGTCACCAGAAGTGAAACTTATTCTAATTTTGGTTTTTCAAAAGCCTATAACTTGAGTACTGTTTAAGATAGATAGAGGAAATTTCACAAATAAGTAAAATATCTAATTCTCTGTCTTCTTTCAAATTTTGAATAATTTTCGGAAGAAGTACTTTACGCTTGTTCCGATTTCTCAAAAAAAAAAACGCATTTGAATTTATACAAATTATACACACATTGTTTGCTGTTCACCTGGTGCGAAATGATTTGTTCTACCATATTCTATTTTATGTTTAAAAAGTTTAAGTAATTAAAAATTGATTTGAAAATCATGCCTATATCCGGGGTTGCCATTAAAATTTAATGTTCATAACAGCACATCTGTGCCGCGCTTCAGACCGGGCTGATCACCAACACGCAGTCACGATGTTAAAATCCCTGGTAGTCTTATATAAGTAAATTCGAAAAAGTTTATGGGAGATCACTCCCGCTTTATTTCGAGTTCAGATCAGTTTTTTTAGTGAAAAAACTATGTAAAAGTTATAATTATAATGTGTGTTCTATAAATAGCAACTTTATTACCAGAAGTGAATACTCATCTTAATCAGTGTTTCATTAAACTTATAACATACCTTTAGAAGCATCAATAAGCAATGACAGTAAAATGTTAGAAATAGAATCAATTGTGGGTTCACGTAGGCGCCTGTCAATGATCGGGCCTTTTCCAAAGGGGTCGCCATCGGGAAATACATCGCGGTTGATCAAGCTTTCCTGCAATGCATTTAAAAAAATAAACATATATATATATATATATATATATATATATATATATATATATATATATATATATATATATGTATGTATACAAATATATGAGTAAAACTATCGTTTTAAAGAAAACCTACGCCATAGCTTGTAGCGATGGCAATAACACAGGTCATTAAAAACCACAGGGCCATGTCGAATCCTACTCTTGTGATGGAGAATAAGACTCGAGTAAATAAGCGAATGTACGCTGACATTATTTATACCTTATATGTGCTGAAGTCATTAACAATAGGGTGTTGAAAAATTACATCCAAATCATTATTTTCTGTAGTAAACCAAACAATATGTGCAAACAAAAACTTTGTTTCTGGCCATTATGACAGGCACCAGAGAATGAGATCACACCTACACTGTAACTTACGCTTTAAACAGAAAGGAAAAAAAATACACTCTTGCACGTACACGAAGTTTACCAGTTGAACATCGATTTTCTTCTTACACAATCCTTATGTATAAAGAAGAACAAATGAAAACTAACGAGATTATTTTCATTTAACTTTAATGTAAATTCAAATTTTGCGTTAACAAATTTAAACAAATAATTAATTTTAAAAGTGTTTACAGTAAACGACACATGGAATTAATAGAAAAAAAACTGAAATTATAATAATGAGCTTTTGACAATGAGTGAGTTTTTAACACAGACTTCATTACCCACACTGGTTTTTGAATGAGTAGTATTTATGAATATATATATATATATATATATATATATATATATATATATATATATATATATATATATATATATATATATTAATGAATATTAAAACTCAAGACTCCGTAGCTAAAGGATTTCAATCATAGAGGTCATCAGAAAGCACACTAACAGTTTGTCTATCATGTGGAGCTTTAGTGTCTTTTAGTACCGCTCAATAATGAGTTCGAATTTTTTTCACATTTGTTTAATATTTTACAAGTTTGTCTTGTCTTAGATTTGACTAATGTATGAGGATGCTCGTAGTTGATTAAAAAATATATTATGTTGTTGATTCCCCTTTTAAACAATAATACCTGAAGTTTTGCTTTCCCTCATTGCAGCCTTACATAAAATACATTTTTATTTTCGGTTTAGATTTAATTATATTTAAAACAGAAATTAGACACATTTATTTCTGGGTGCAGGACATTACTTTGCGGTAAATTACCTCCAGGTCAATAGCTCCCTGCCATTAATCCGGGTAAACACCCCCCCTCACATTTCTTTTTTAAAATTCAAATTATACATAACGCCATAAAGTAAGTACCTGAAAACATAATTTTCAACTAAAATTGAACAGTTTATAACATTTTAAAAATAAGTACAAATGGATTTCTTGTTTTTTTTTCATGCCAGAAATATATAAAAAAAAAAAAACCACTGGTAATATGATAGTGATTTAGCAAAAACTTTAAGTTTTAATTTTGATTAGTAGAGTCAGAGTGTTTGGTGATAGGTGATTGTATATTATTTAATACAAATACAATACTATGCTATACATCATAGACCACTATTGTGTATTTTATCATGGAAAAATATTATTCTGACTTTTATTGTTTTATTTTCTCAGGGCATTTCGTTTGACTTCAAGGAGAGGTTGAGGTTTTTAAATATTTAAATTGACAAAATAATTCTAAACGGCTTTTCAACGGCTTTTATTCAACAAAAAAATATGAAAATTAGCGTAATTGATGGCTCCTAACAGCTTTAAGTTTTTAAAATGAAACTATAATTATATTGCTTGCCATATTTAAACAAAAATTAAAAACAATTAGTATGATTACATAATTATTAGGCAGCCAATTAAGTTAAATTTGATGTCAGATTGCATTGTCATCGAGTATTTACCCAGAAGCCAACTTTTAAACAAATCGAACATTTAGAAGTGATCGAAATTTCGCTCGACAGTTTCAAAATAAGTCTAAGCACTAGAGAAGACAGAAAAATCAAGTTAAATAAAAGCTTTTGTAAAAAAAAAAAGCCCGTATTAATAACTAGCTTTTAAATAACTATGCACTAAAACCGACAAAATAAATGATCTTCTTAAAACATAGTAATAGACTACAATTTAATTAACTTAAAAGAAAAGCGTGGGTCGCTATAAAATATTATGAAGGCCTTATTGAATATATTTCCAAACATTTAACAAGCGACCCAGCCTTATCCCAATTCCAATTATAACACTAGGCAATTTACGTCTGTAAACCTATAAATTTCCTATTTATTTATATGATTATATCTTTCCCTGTATCTACCACATCAAGATAAGTATCTCAAACGTAGTCCCCTGCCTCTTCAAATCTTAATGTTGTCTATCTTTGTCCCATCCCAGTTCTAATCCCTATTAGATGAAGGTTGGAATTGTAATCGACTGCGTATGAGTGAACGGTGAGGGGGGGGGATAGTTTTCCATAGTGTTCAGTTTTTATGTTATATCATTACAAACAAGCTGTTACGTATTCGTGACAGAGGCGTACCTGTTTGCCATCGTATGATCGATTCCTATTTAGCTACTGTGTTATTTCCCATTAACCAACTAAAATGAATAGCTACACCCTCAATGATGTAAGAATCACATATGAGAATTAATTTAAATCGTGCTTTCATCTATTTACATTTTGTCCAAGCCAACAGATGTTGAAGGATCATACATTCATACCTTGGTCGCGCATCCTAGACAAAATGTTTAGCTCCGTCACAGAATGTTTATTGTCATTATTAAAGGTTTTGCCTTTTCAAGCACCTTAACACACACACACACACCACACACTACACACACATACACACACGCACGCACACACACACACACACGCACGAACACACTCACGCACGCACGCACACACACACGCACGCACGCACGCACGCACAAACACACAACACACACATCACACACACACAACACACACATAACATACACAACACACACAATACACACACAAAACACACAACACACACACACAATACACACACAACACACACACACAACGCACACACAACACACACACACAACATACACACACAATACACACACAACACACACAGCATACACACACAATACACACACAACACAAACAACACACACAATACACACACAACACACACCACACACACAACACACACACACAACACACACAACACAAACACACACATGTAGGTCCTATATAGAATAAAAATAAACATGTTATTACGGGTGTATCAAGCTAGCTTTTCAAATGTCAGCCGCAATATTTGTGGAACAATACTTTAGTTTAGGACAGCAGTTTTATTTTTAGCCAAGTTTGCTGATAAGTCTTATAGACTATTTTTTTAGACTATGCAATTGAAATATGATATTGATAACCTTCATCTAAAATCTAAATAGATTAAAATATTATGTCCCATAACAAAACTTTAAATTTCTCATGGAATTTCATACTGAAAGTGATATATATTTATAAATTATCATTCATATTTTTAAAAGTGTCATTCAAAATATATCTTAGCTTTCATGTGATATATGTTATGGTTTCATCTTTACTTTCTCGTATATACGAAGTAAAGAGAAAGTCTTGTAATCGTGCAAAAAAAATCGAGATTTTTGCAAATCTCGACGTTTTACACCTCCCTGAGTCTGAAAAACATAGTTTTGCAATCTTGTCCGTATGTCTGTGTGTGTGTGTTTATGTGTGTGTGTGTGTAAACCCGATAACTTGAGTACCGTTACAGCTACGTTGATGAAATTTCATATATAAGTATTTTATCAAAATCGTAGATCATTATTAACTTTTGAGCGATTTCCGATAACCGGAAGTGGTACTTTTTCTACTTTAAACTTTTAAAAAGCCTATAACTTGAGTACTATTTCACATACATAAAGGAAATTTCACAAGTAAGTAAAAGATCTAATCCTCTACCTTCTGTCAACTTGTGAGTAATTTCTGTTGATCGGAAGTAGTAATTTACGTTATTTCCGATTTCTCAAAAAACTAATGTCAATTTATAAAGTACTAAGAATATTGCGCACTATTATGCACATTTTATTTGGCATTCACTAGGTGTGCAATGCTTTTTCCATGAGATTTTATTCTATTTTAGAAAATTTAAGTATTTAAAATGGATTAAAAATCATGTCTATATCCCGAGTTCCCTTCCCCTATTGTTTTATATAAGAATATTCGAGAAAGTTTATGGGAGATCACTCCAGGTTTATTTATAATATTTGTTCGACAATTTTGAAAACTCATTTAGTTTGTGAAAAAAAAAAAAAACAGAGACAATAAAACTTCGTTTTTATGAAGTTCAACAAAATGGCCATATAAACAGAAAGTGATATTTCAACACCAAGGCTAGGCAAAGGTACAGAATATAGTCCAAGTAAAGACAGAACAGTCAGAACCCAACGGGATCCGAACCTACCATTCCACACGGCACCAAATCGCCTCACTCTACATGCCAATAAGCTCTACTAAAAAAAGAGCTTTCATGACAGACCACTATCACAACTAGTGAACGGAAGACGCGGGCTGGCTTGACTACTTAAAAAAAAAATCATCTTTATTGACAGAAAATAATTCAAACTACAATCAAATAAGCGTTCCGACAGTACATGATAGAATTGATAACTTGCAACAATGTGTCTGTAAGTTTTGTATTTATTTAATTAATTTAAATTATATGTATTGAATTGAAACAGATTTTTTTTCTAATGTCTAGTTATAATTAGGATTGAGTAAAAATTAAACCTATTTTACTGCAACATTATTAAACTAACCTTTATTTTATTTCTTCAGCACAGTCATATGAAAGCGTTAAAAGAAAAGAAAAAGACAGTTATCAAAACATTGGTCAAACAAACATTTAGATGGTTGCTATAATTATGTTTTATATTATATTGTACTATAATGCAACTGCGTGTTAAGCCTTGAAAGGAAAATTTTAAATAAAAGAAGTTATCGATTAAATTACTACAACTCTATTTGTGTTTGTTATTGTTAAAAAAAACAATTACCATTTATAATTATTCTTGTTTTACTATGATTAAAAAGGTTTGTACTTCCTTACACACCAATAAACACTTGAAAGCGTTTTCCTTTTTCTTTTTTGTTTCATTTTGCAAATACGTTAAATAGTAGGAGGAACAATAACATTTTCTCAATGATTAAAATTTGTTTGGTTTTAGTTTACACAAAAAAGCAAACCAATCTGAACAATTTTATGTAGCTGATTTTTAAGTCATTTCTGTTGCTAGTGTGGATGTGTTTGAATATTGTTAGCCATTTTACCAGTTTTTTATGTCATGTGACCTTTGTAGTAATGTGGTGCTACTTTCACGACGCTTGGACAACCAGGGTTTGAGTGACCATGACAAAGTGTGCTGACTTTGTGGTAGTCAGTGAAACCTTATAGACCTGAGGTATGTTCTCTTTAGATTTTTGTACCAGCGCCGTATGTTGCGGACTGGATATTGTAAGTATATATTAATTAAAGTCATATAGAACTTGTGGGCAGTGGCAATATTTTAAGACAATTTTTACCTCCCCCCTCCCTTTTTTTCTTATCATAGATCGTCCCAAAATTGCGGATCCCCCTCCTACACGTGTTACATTATTTATGGACGACCCCTTAAAGACTATGTTTTGGGCATAGATTAGAACGAGTCAACATTCCTCTCACAGTTATCGGGAGCTTTCAATGAGCATTGAAAAACATGTTGGCCAATTTAAATATAAATAACCCTATCCTGAGTACAATGAAGTATAGGCAACTTATACAAGAAATGAATTGGTACACAACTTTAACTAAACGTGGATAATAATATTATTTTATTTTCACGTTTAACTCCCTTTATCTCTAACTTGTATTAAGTGTGCAGAATTAAGTTTTTTGAAAAAAAAAATATTTAGGCTACATATTACAAACTCGGAAACAGTTTGAAAAAAAAACTACCAAATTGTAATATTTCATATTTAGATTTATTATATATATATATATATATATATATATATATATATATATATATATATATATATATATATATATATATATATATATATATATATATACTGGTATTATAACAAGTTAAATAAGTTCGATATTAAGATTTAACAAGTTTAAAATGCAAATTTAAATCGTAACAACATTTCAAATTACTAAATAATTGTTATACAATATAGATTGAATTTAATCGAGCTTTTTTAAAATAATGTAAATACTATTCCCATTTCTTCAAGTTCAACAGCTATTTAATAAAAACAAAGATTGATAAAAAAAAAATGGTTACTGTTATTTACATACTTTAAGCTAAACTGTGGACATTAATTAGGTTTCATTTCGATACCCCGAGGGAAATGCTCAGAAATTGTATTATTTTTTTACGAAGTGTATCATTGTTTATTTAAACAACTTATGTTAAAATTAAAGTATTTTCTAAGACAAACATTTATATAAACACAAAAATATGTGATTGTATTATATTATATAGAATTTGAATTATTAAAGAAAACTACATTACATTTAAATGCGTATGTTTATATAAATAACAATATTGCCTATGTAAAAATATACGATTTCTTGAAGATATTTCTAAAATAAAAAGTTGGCTGTTTTTTAAAGTGTTTGTAAAAGTTGAAAAGAACTGCATACGCTGCAACTTTAGAAAAGGCACAAACAGAATTTCATAAATTACTTAATGTTAAAATGGTAATTCGTCTGTACATAATTTTTCATTATTATCCTAACATTATTTGTAAGTGTTAAACAGTTGTTTAATTTTTAGTCGTAAGGACCGAGTCGACAAGTAAAGATGAAGTCCTATCAGCAGCTGTTAAAATAGATGTTTTCCTGTTAATGGTAAATGCAACAGGGCGTAAATTAGAAAAACAAATAAATTAATTATTTATTTATTTACATTTCATTAATGGTGAAAATGATACGAAATCAATATAAGCAGTATTTAAATTTACAAACAGCATAAGAAATGCTTACCTTAGAATTCAACGGGCCACATGCTGCGGACGTTATCGTAGGGATAATCATGTCGTAACTTTTGTACACATTTGCTGGAAACAAAAAAGGTTGCAATAGTGTCATGAACCAATGTCATATACCATAGTTATGAAATACAAATATAGAATAATTCCGGGGTTATTTGTAATACATATGTACGTTATTTATGTTCAAGATTATAATATTGTTGTTAATAAATATAGCTATAGGTAAAAATGAAACTTACGGTAAAAATTGTTCCAAGATTGGTAGAAATATATATCAAAGTTTTTCGTCTCTAGATTTAAAGAGTATATATATATATATATATATATATATATATATATATATATATATATATATATATATATATATATATATATATATATATATATATATATATATATATATATATATATATATATATATATAGCCTATATATATATATATATATATATATATATATATATATATATATATATATATATACAGAGTGAGAGAGAGAGAAGACAGTATGTGTGTATGTAAATGCGAATATGTGTATATGAATTATTAAAAAAACTTATATTACTTGATGTTTAAGTTGTTTATCTGATCGACTGTATTGCAAACAAATATGTAACAAACACAATCCATTTGCCAATCATCCATGTCAGTTATGGCCTTACACTAAAAGAAGTAATACATACACATTCCATATAACAGATAAAGAAACAACGCGACGGTTGTATTGTTATTCTGTTTTTACTCACCTGAAGGTTCTTTCAAGCTAAAATATTAATTTTTAAAGTTTTAGAAACTAAATAAAGTAAAAGATATAGGATAGAAATATTACATAGTTAACTGGATCAATTGTATATAGTGTAAACAGATTACATTTAAAAAAATCGATTTTGATCATAACTTTAGTTGCGTTTGAAGTTTGCTTTGGTTATAGTACAATAAATGTAGTTATAAGGAAACATGTGTATACAAATTAACAGCAGATGAATATTGTTAATAAACTAGTAGAGCGATAAACCAGTCTCACTTAATATGCGGTTGGGCATAGTGATTATTCCCCTTTATACCGAGGTTACTCAAAAAGAGATCAACTCTACTTCATCTCCCCCATGTGTGCTAGGCACAAACGGGAGAAAGCTGTCTAAACTTTAAAGTTTAAAGTATAAGCTAAAAGGGTACAACACTTACTTATAATACTTTTTCTGCAGTGTGCTTCCTGTAAAAAATGGCATATATATATATATATATATATATGTGTGTGTGTGTGATTGTGTGTGATTGTGTGTGTGTGTGTGTCTGTAATCGTAGTTACTTTAGTAAAATTGAATGCCTTTGAATATTGTACTCACCATTTCGTTGAAATAAGAAAGTAGCTAATAGAATTATTAGAACAAGACAAAGAGCTGCTGTTATAGGGGCAGCAATTATTAATGTCGATTCCATTTCTAGAGGAGTTGGTACTGAAATGAAATCAAATATTTCATTATATTTTTATATGTTCCATTTAAAATAGCCGTAACTTATATTAGGTTAATACTGAACAGCATGTCTTACGGTTGAAAGGCGACAGATTACAGTACAAAACGCATTTAATCTTTTACTTAATCTTGGGGTAAAACTTAGATTAAATCGAAATGGGCGCAAACGGACAAACAGATTATAAGGACTAAATTATCGTATAGTTTCTCTTTGTTTTTTCGGATAGAAGGTAGAGTAGTTGCATTGTCTAAATAGCGGTTATTGCTTTTAACCCTTTGAGGACCATAGACATAGTTTTGTTGTCATATTTCTGGGAGACTACTCGTCAAAAGCTAAAGTTTAAACTTTTCTATAAAAAATATTAAGTAGCCTCAGAGAGAGATTACTCGTGTTTTTAAAATGATTTATTCTTGATGTACATTTTTTATTCTTAATGTTTTTGCTTGTTTTGGAATAAAAGTAGTAACATTGTCTAAAAACGCGGTTATAGCTTTTAGGATATTTTATAAACGTGACTTTCATAGAAAACAGTTCATAAAACAAGTTTACGCACACAAACTTCGAAGTGGCACTACTGTTTTGTTGTTGTAGTAGCATGTTGAAATATGCGAAGCACTGCACGAACAGTTCATGTCCTCTAAATCTGACGTAATGGCGTTCACAGCCAATGTAGCTATAGTGCTATTTATAGATACGTTCATATAAGACCCACATTCAAGTGTGATGTTTGATACCACAGGATATCCACCAATTACTTCACACTGTAAAATGTAAGTTGTATTTTCTGTTGTGTTAAATATTTTGATATTTCTATTAGTATTTATCTTCAATATGGTGATTTCTGGTATATTGGGTGCTTCTGAAATTAAACAAATAAAGAATAAATGTTTTTCCTGTTTCAATGTTATTTTACTTTTAATTAGCAGTATTTTTATTAACATTTTTGTGTGGATTAGATATTGTTATAATACCAGTTATAATTACCAGTCAACATACATTAATCATACAGTAAAATAACAGTCCTTCTAATGTGTATATATATATTTGGATTTGGAAATTTTAAATTATAGCTATTGGAAAATGTTTCTTTTTACTTTAACCGTTTCGTTTTTTAATTTAAAAAACAGCATAATATAGGTTAAAGCTTTATTTTATCAATACGGGCTATTTAAAAAATAATTACAAAATGTGTTTTCAATAAATTCAATAGATTCAATAAGTAAAACATCAAGCAGGCAAGTAAAAAGCATGTATAGGTAATCTTTGCTTGTTTTGTTGCTTTTGTATTAACATACTAACATACTTGACACGTACCTATTACATTTTTGGAAAGTGTCTGGAACACATTCGCTTCTCGAGACTCGTTGTTTTTTGCTAGGCACGAAAACATGAAGACACCACCATTTCCCAGTGTAGTTGTGTTTGTTACATTGTAAATGTCTGTATTGTTGGTTAAAATTGTATTACTTTGCCTGATCTCAATAGAAAAAGATGGATAAACATCTTCCGATACTGTGCATTTGTACGTAACTGTTACAAGCTGTTCCTCACACAGGTGAAGATCTTCTTCCGTCGGGTATAGAGATAAATTTACACTCTTCGGTCCATCTGGAAATTCATTTGCAATTTAAAAAAAAAGCTTATGTTTTCTCTTGAAAATATAAAAACAACTTGAGGAACAGATGTTTTCACATTTAATGCAATTGAAAGAGTTAAAAAAAGATTAGAGTGCGTTGAATTGGTTTTTATATAAGTTTTTGGAGAATCTGTTTTGTGGAAATTTGTGTAGGCTACCTATTCCAAAAGAAATCATTTTAAAATATATTAAAATAGGTTGCATTTTATAACAAATAGTTTGTTGTATAGAGACTTTTACCTAATTATCTCTAAAAGTCTTAGCGTTAAAGTAAACTTTTACAAAGGAACAAGTTATAACATATTGATTTGTTATTTTATTTTGAAAAATATATATTTCTTATATAGAATTAAAAATTTTTTTAGCGGCCATCACCTCAGAATTTTACAAGAATTCGTTATCAAATTTGTACTCACAAGCCAATAAGGGGGTGTACTTGTGTACCACTGACCAGCCAAACGGAAAACTACTGTTACATATAAATGCTGTAAGAAACATGTTAATTGTCAACATAAAAGTTAAGTTCTAATTCATAAACATTAAATACGCATTTTGAAAAAAAATTGTGTGAGTTAGAATACATAATAACTATGTAAATAGCTATAAGATTAAAGAAGTTATCTGCAAACTTATTTACTAGAATTTCGTGTCGCTGTAAACGTGAGATGAGAACCGTTAGCTGCTATCGTGTTATTTGGATAGTACCAAACGATGTCAGCTGTTACATTACTGGTGTCCGTCCTGTGACATGTACACTGTCCAGTGTGACCTTCAAGGATATATGTCTCGGTACACTCAGCACCCAAGGTAACAGTAGGATTTTCTGGAAATTAAAAAACATGTTTTTACAGATGCATAACATATATTTAACTATGTTTAACTTATACCATAATGAACATATTGTTGAAACATTACCTAAATGTAGAATATTAGAACGATTGGTTCCAAAATTATTATCAGTTATTTCATCCCCTGTGATGTTCAGATACATTGATGTAAGAATATGTGTGTCGCCTAGCTGTAACTGATCCATCGAGATGTTAAATGAACAGGTAATATTTTTAAGAAAGCCAACTTTAGTGGAATTCGTTTCTTCACAAGAGCCATTGATTCTTCTCTAAAATAAAATTAAAAGTACGTTTAAATGCTTAGTGAGATACATTTGCAATTCACTTCTAAAAAGATTTTAGTCACGGGCTTCACTTATGGATAATTTGCTTCTATTATATTTTAGTGTAGCTGATCCTTTACGATGTTAAATGAACAGGTAGAAGTTTTAAAACAACCGCCGTCAGCTGATTTCGTTAGATTGCATGTGCCTTCGATTCAGCTCTGATCGAAATAAAATAACCTTTAAATGCAACATTATTGTCATAATTACATTTATTTTATGTTGAAATAAACTTTAGTTATGGGTCTCATTACTGTATGACAATCGTATCATTGTGTTCCTATCTCTACGTATATTACAGTCAATATATAAACCCTCTCTATGCCCCCTACAAATCATTTATGGACGAAGATTCAACGCAAAACAACATTTAACAGTTCTTCTAATTATTGAAATTATTTTACATTTTCACAAACCGCTGAACTGATTTCACATCGTTGTGAAACAATTTCGCGTTTGAAACCTCTCTATATATTAATTTTCTGTTTCCGGCTCATAATCAAAACTGATTAATTTTTGGATAATAAATTCTCCTATTTTATGTTTCTAAATATATTTTTATAATCATAGCACTCTATAACTAATGATGATAAAAATTTAACACTGACTGAGTGGGAATAAGGTGTCATGGTCACCCATTGAGGTTGTATCGCGGTTACGGGCTGACCTTCAGAGACAACAATACAAAACACTGCTTGTTTCTGGATCAGCTTTATTGCTCCATACAGACTACCTTAGAAATTCAATTTTAATTTCATATAGCCGTTCATTAAGTCTATATACATTACTCTAGTTATTCTATGCCCATGTCAGAAACTGTACTGATCATAAATAAATGTTTTCAAAAAAATCATTATCCTAATTTCCATTTAGTACCAATACCTGCTCCTATTACTGTTATTTTATAATAATGCAAAATACAATTATTACAAACACAAAAACGCTTACACACGCATACTTTAACTAGAAATATAAAACATAAATTACTGTATCATTGTAAATAGAGAATGATTTAGCGTTAGGGAAAATGTTTGGTGATGAACATCTCATCCTAATTCCATCCATCAACGCTCCAAAGAAACAATATATATGCTCTATCTCAGCTGAAAAAACAAAATAAAAATATTGCGAATCAGTATTATCATGTTTTAAAAAGATTAGTTAAGTTGAGAACAAAACGTAATGATCAGGCTTTATAAAAACAAACGACACAAAACTGAAGATTACGAAATTTGATTATTATACTGTACAATCAACTCTATCGGCGCAGTCTGGCTCATATTGCAAATAGCTGCTAAACCGGAGATTTCGAATCCCTAGACAGATGAGGCTCGATGACGGATCAGCATCAAATCTAGGAGAGAAAACTCGGAAATCAAACAGAAGTCGAGCTCACAAGGCGATAGGAATACCAACTCGTACATCACAGCTGATCTCAAGTTCTAGCAGTAAAGTTCTGTGATTTCGGTCGATCGACTGTGTGGAGATAGGAGTCTGGTGCATGGTCAATATCTGGTCTTTACAAATTACTTCCCGTCTTGAGCCTTGATTTCCTAGACCCAATGGAACCTATTATAATCATACGTCTCTCTCTAAAACCTTAAGAGCAACATTAAAAAAAATTGAACCGCGTTCTCAAATTTAAATTCATTTGTTTTTTGGATACCAATTTTTCTTAAGTTACTTACAATAAATGATTAACCTGTACACCCGATAAAAATACTGTGCACTCGTCAAGTTAGTTCCGTTAGATACAGAAATTGTTTCGTCCCATGATGTCCTTTGAATGTTTTTTATTGTAAGTTGAACTGTTAAGTTGGAATTTCTGGCATAATACACGTTTGTTAATTCGCACGATGAACCTTTATGGCGGCATTCAGTGCAAGTATTTTCAACACAACTCCCCAGTTCAACCTGGTTCCTAAAAAAATGAATATTATCGGCTGCCGTACCGGTAACATTAACTGTAAAATTTCTTCTGAAATCAGTTGAAGACTTTATTATGATGTAATCAGGGACTGCAATTTGAAAAGAATATAAATAAAAACAAGTACCTTTATTTAATTATAAATATTGACCTAATAATTACATACATATAGGCTATCAATAGGATTATGTTTTTGTTTTATTTTCTCGAAAAAAAGCATAGACAAAGTATTGTAATCGTGCTGAATAATTAACAGGTTTTTTTTTAGTTTTCATCTTACTATATCGTATCCGGAATATGAAGAATGCAGTGTATGAGCGCCTACATCTAAATCGAAATTGTGACCAACTTTGACATTTTATAACATCCAGAAGCCGGAAAATTTTTATTTTGTAATCCTGTCCATGGTGTGTGTGTATATGTGCGTGTGTGTGAATTTAAACACGATAACTTGAGTACCATTTCAGTTATTTTTACGAAATTTCATATACAAGTGTTTTATCGAATGTATATTTCTGTATATTTCCCCGTAAACACGATAACTGGAGTACTGTTACAGTTAGGTAGACGCTATTCCATGTATATATATATATATATATATATATATATATATATATATATATATATATATATATATATATATATATAAATAAATATATATATTTATATATATGAACATGCATGTAGTAATTGATCATTTTCCAAAAATATTCTTTTTACAACGTATTATTTTGATTGATGTATTCAGTTTAAGGGAATCACGGGTTTATTTTGAAAGTGTATTTTCAATTAAAATAAACCGGCAGTGATTTCCCCTAAACTTTCTCGAATATTCCTATTTAACACTAAGGTGGATGGCTACTCGGGATATATACATGATTTTTAATCCATTTTTAATTACTTAAACTTTTTAAAAATAGAAAAGAATCTCGTAGAAAAAAGAATTGCGCACCAAGTGAACGCTAAACAATCTCTGTATAGTAGTGCAAAATATAAAAAAGTACTCTATAAATTCACATGCAATTTTTGAGAAATCGGAACTAGTGTAAATTACTTCGGGTCAACGAAAATTACTAAAAATTTTACAGAAGGCAGATAATTTGATCTTTTAATTACAAGTGAAATTTTATATATCTATCTGAAATAGTACTCAAGATATAGATTTTTGAACAATTGAAAGTAAAAAAAAAGTACCACTTCCAATTGCTAGAGATCGCTGAAATGTTGATACAGAACTACAAATTTGATATAATACTTATATATGAAATTTCATCAAACTAGCTGTAACGGTACTCAAGTTATCATATTCACAGACACACATACAAACACACATACACACATACAGGCAAAATTGCAAAACTATGTTTTTCCGACACCTGGAGGTGGGACAATACTTCCTGTATACTTCGTATACGAGAAAGTAAAAAAGTACAAATGCAGTGCGCTGAAGGAATATCCTTATCCTCACCATTGCAACGCATACATAAGGGACGTACTACCGCTCTGCTAGTATATATATATATATATATATATATATATATATATATTTGGTTGGTGGGTTTGTGTGTGTACAGAATCTCCAGATCTCCAGTCTGTGTACTATTTAATATTTTATAATTACACCATTTTTCAAGTAAAATATTGATAAATTCCACCTAATGCAAAAAAAGAAAAAAAATCACTTACCTGATGCTATGGGAATTGACATTTTAAGGGCATATATAACGCAGATTATCCACCTAAAACAATCCATCTTTAAGTGTTTAATAAATATTAGCTGTCATATATTAAAACTTCCTTTATATATCAATTCAGTCGATGTGCTTTATTATACATATAAATGTTTATTTTATTTAACTCTAACAATTGTTAATGTATTCAAAAACTTCGAGGGTTTTCATGATCTAACATACCTTGTAATTTTACAAATTTAGGAAAATATAGTGCATCTATAATATAGCAAGGTATATTCTTTTGAGTGCAGATCGTATAAATCGACGTGCGGTGTCAAGTCAACATACCGCCTGACGTGCAGACGTAGCGGGCATGACAAGCAGACACGGCAGTGGTTAAACAAAAAATGTTCACTAGAAAACTTTTTGCCTTTAACCAGAAGAAAAAGGAAAAAGCTTGAGATAGGCAATGATGGTTCAACAGACTAAACAATTTTGTCGAAACAACGTGCTAATATTTCTTATATATTTCAGTGAGTAACTATTGATAACAATTAATTATAAGTTGTATATTAAATACACACCTACAAGTAAATGCTAAATATGATAGCATTAGGTGTAGAATTATTAGGTATTCATCATCCGCCCATGTCCTTAAATAAATTGAACATTAATGTTTTAAACATCTTAATCTAAATTGGGGACGGTGTGACCAAGCAGTAGGGCGCTAGACTAACCAGAAAGTTTCGAGTTCGAATCCGGGTTCAACTCATTAAAACGTCTCTGAGTCTACCCAGCGCTAATGAGTACATAACGAATGTTAAGGTAAATTAAGGCGGCTGTGCATAGTGCTGACCATACTATCCCCTCATACGCCGAGTTCACTGAAATATGTCCAATGTGTCTTGGGCAAGAACGGGAAAAGATGATGATGATTTTAACTAAATTTACTATTTTACATTTTTTTAAAATGTATATTACTGTTTTTGACTTTTAAATTATTTTTTAGCGATTACTGCAGCTCAGAATATCACACTTTATAACTACAAGCAAAGTGACAGTGTTACAAGTTGTTTTACGGGATTAATACAAGAAAGGGATCGATTTGTATTTCACAGCGATGTTGATTTCAAAAACGCATCATCTGACTGGTCAAGAATCATAGGATTTCAATACAAACCGCCAACAAGTACAGATTATATACTTGTAAGTTTGATACGTGTGCATGTTTAAAGAGATAATAACATTATTTTATGCAACTAATATATGGAGTTTAATTCCTAACTAATTAGACTGATTAGTGTCTAGATTATGTTTTATAGAAATAACATTCGTAATATATAGGCATGGAAGCCCATCAACGTTTGTTTCTTGGGCAGCTTCATTTCCAAATAATAATTTTGTTCTACATGTGTTTCTACTGCATAGTAGTTTCTCCACTAGTAAATGTCGTGTGTGAAGTTGTATATGGGACGGTGTGACCAAGCGGTAGAGAACAAGGCTGCTAAGTCTCGAGTTCGAATCTGTGCTCAAATCAGTTGAATATCGCTTAGTCCACCCAGCTCTACTTCATCTGCTCAATGTGTCATGGGCTCGAACGAGAAAAGATTAGATGAATGATATTGTGTAGTATTGTAGTTTTGCCTCACCTTTTAATTCGGCTATAATTTTGGAAACCTAGTTTTGTAGATACAAGTGAAATACTCTTGTCTAGTTCTAGTTATTTCTGTATTAATGGTGTCTAGGTGAATTCTGTTGATTTTTCCTTTGAGTTCTTTTTAGTGTGCATAAAATGTATCTACATCAAAAAGAAATTCAAAGAATAAAAAGATAGCAATTTCTCTTTCGGTCTGACACGCAACCAAAATGACACCAAAAAAAAACTACGTAAAATACAAATCAACACGCAAAGAACAACATATTATCTTCAGACTCAGAACAAGCCACAACAGACTGATACAGAACATGTTAAAAAAACTAAATGTTGATCCAGGCGAAATTTGCCCTTGTGACATGGCCCCAGAGTAGACACAACACGTCCTACATGATTGCAGCATGTATGATCTGATGTAGACTCTGGCGCCAATACACCCCAATACACCCCAATACACCCCAATACACCACAATACACCCCAATACACCCCAATACACCCCAATACACCCCAATACACCCCAATACACCCCAATACACCACAATACACCACAATACACCACAATACACCCCAATACACCCCAATACACCACAATACACCACAATACACCCCAATACACCCCAATACAACCCAATACACCCCAATACACCCCAATACACCCCAATACACCCCAATACACCACAATACACCCCAATACACCCCAATACACCCCAATACACCCCAATACACCACAATACACCCCAATACACCCCAATACACCTCACTCACAAAAAGAGTTAGAGTTGCCGCAGATCTGGAGACCACCGTCCATTTTCAGCCACGAAGTGGAAATGTTGATTGATTCCTCAAATGTAAAATAATTAAGAACGACGGAGAAAACTTGTACTAAATATATTATGTCATTTATCCAATCATCATTCACATGTAGCCATAAAATAGCAATAATAAAAATCAATGTCTAGATCGAACAGCTTTGTTTTAATTCAATGAGTTAATGTATGGTTGTTAAAATTGCCAATTCGAGTTTAGTAATTTAACTTTAAATTTTCAGTTCTGTTTGGTAGACCTAAGATTCGTATGTTCTGGAGTAGATGGGTCCAAATGTTACTGTAACTACACCGACACAAATGGAGTCCATCACATCGTCATTGACGCCACAGCACTAATCGCGTTTAGCAACAGTTTATTACGCGGATATATATCATACAATTTCAACCCCACAAGCTTCAGTCCTTCTCAAGTCATACCGACAATTTATGGTAAAATGTCTTTTTATATTGTGTTTCATTATGAAAAAATTCTTGCAACAACCAACAAGTGAAACATATCTGTTTCAAATTATTATTAATTCCAAATTTATTGAAAGGAATAGAACAGTTATCTTGTTGGAAACAGATGAAATTGTAATAAAGGATATATTATATATATATATATATATATATATATATATATATATATATATATATATATATATATATATATATATATATATAAATTTTAATGTAAAATCAATTAGATGAAGCGGTTTCTTCCAAGAGTCTTACAGTTAACGGCGTTGATATCAGAAGCGAAATATGCTCGCTAAAACTGCGCCCATCAAACACAAACATACAATTTTGTTGCACAAACGCCCCATCACCGTGTATCACGAGGATCTTTTTAAATGGGCTACTGCTAGTTGGTGGCGTTGAATGTGCCGAGTACACAGCGACTGAGGTGACAGATAATGCCCAAGTGACCTTCACATTTTCCCATGATGTGTGCGGTGTTGCGGATCCCATGGAATACCAATGTACTGCTTTACTAGGTGAGTTATAGTACGTTTCAAAAAAGGGTTAAATGGGCAGAAATATCTGACGTTTTTAATATTATCGACTTTAAAAGGAAAGGCGGCTTGGCTGGGGAGGAGCGCCCTATCGTTTACCATAATGTCTCGAACACTGGGCTCAATTCATTAGGAACGTCTTGAGTCCATTTATCTCTGATGAGTACCTCAGTCACGCTGGGGAATCGCCTTATCCCTATCAAAGCCGATGTGGTGAAAACCCTTTTTAACGTGTCTTATCGAACGTGAAGTGGTTTATTTTACTTTTTTTTTAGAAAAAAAATACTTTATGGTAGGGAAAAAACTTCATCATTGGACCAAATCAATCACTCATAATTACTAATGTAATATACGTTGGTAAATACATATAGTTATTTTTTTTAAATATCGTCCATTGCTTGAATGTATTATAGTGTAAAAAAAATGTTTACTTTATAAACATTTAGTATGTTGAAATGGCATGTTGCATAATGTTTTTATCTTTATACCAGACATAGAATGTACAACACAATGCGGCTGGGAAGGAATCCTTCTTATCACAATTTACACCATTGTTTCTGCAACAAGTGTTATCGTGGGAATAACGCTGCTCGTTTTTAGTAAGATCTTATAATTTTGTGTATTGGATTCAAGGGCAGGTTTTTTAACTTTATTTTTAAGTGTGCATTACATATTAGATATAGACATTATACACTTCTAATTTGTATACATGTATTATTATAAAACAACTATTATAAATGCATTCATGTTTTAAAAAAAAACCCATCATAATTCAAATTTTTTATTTTTCAGTTCTTAACAAGTGGAATAACTTTACGGTTTTGGCTTTTACATGTATTCAGGTGTCCATGCTCATTATCAGCATAATTATAATTATTATACAAGCCTTAGTTGACCCGTGTGCATGTGGTACGATCATTTGTTCATTTCTATAAAAAGAATTCGTAGTTAATTGTAATAATTTAAAATTATTTTTTATAATACTGAAATATATGTTTCATACAATATCACTTGTGTATATAAATCGTCCTAAATTCGTATTCCGTTGTGAATGTAATATGACGTTGTTTACTTGGAGATTTTTGTAATTGATAGAAGTGATGTTTTTAAGTAACAAATACACACGTTTTATTAAAAACAATGTGTGTATAATTAATACTTAGTGTGTTTCATACAAAGTACATCTTTCTTAAAAGCAACTTAACTGAATTGACTGTATTTTTCTCAACAGATCCTGACAACTCCACAATTACTATCAATATTTGGGCTATCTTCGTAATCAACTACTTTGTGGTTTTCTCTGTATTCACTGTTACAGTCGTGTTACTTCTTCTATGCATGTGTACGTAATAAATGTTTTGATCAACTAGCATAGTTCACCAGTTAAAAATTCATTTAAAAGACCTTTATTTAAAAATTTTTAAAAAATCACTATATCGTCGGAGGATATCGATTTTATTGGATTTAACACGAAATGTATTAGAAACATTACTAAATCGAAATTTTTAATCAACAATTTCATATTATTAATTGTTCTTATTTTAATATATTTTGTGTACAGTTTATAAAAGTCAAGAGAATTATCTGGATATTCAAAGGAAACTTATCTTTTTCATACTGAACTTTACAATTGTGGTACCCATCTTTAGAATGATGCTATATCTCTATGGAAAATCCAGTAGGTCAATTTATAATTTCAACTGCTCTCACCTTAACATAAAACTATTATGTCAAAAAATAATCCAATAAAGTGTTAAAAATACAAACACACTTGTATTTTGTTAATTAAACTAGTAATGGTTTATTCCTTTTATAAGTTTTAAAATACAGAATTTGTTTCATGTTTTCCAATTACACGTTAAGCCTCACTACTCAGTTATGATTGTTTTATGATTGTTTTTACGATCTTTCATATTTTTTTTTAAACTTAACGATTAATTAAATAAACGGTGTTTTAATTTCAGAAAGATCAATCTCTTCAAACGAAATAAATCCCGTGAAAGACAAGTCAGGTCAAACACAAATACCGCACAGCAAATTTGCGTGAGTAAAACAAAACATTTATTTTTTGTGGTTTTAAAAGATGGTATAAAAATTAAGTTAGTATCCATGGAATAGTTTCAATGATATTATTTTAAATCATTCTCATTTATAAATGGTTCAGTTCATTTAATATTGAATTACCTTAGTGTTTTCATTATAGTTTACATGCTTGCCAAGTGTTTTACATAAGAAAGTGTTGTACTAAGAAAGTTTATTGTGACAAATCGACATTATTTAGTAACGGCCTTGTGACTCGTGATACTTTAATATTAAATATAACATATTTTTCAGCCTTAAAAGTGGGCAAAAAGCCAGTGCCTCTGTAACAATTTCTAATGATAAAACAAGCTCGATAAAAACAAACCCGATCGAAGCTACGTTTACTGACAACAACAAAAAGTCGGATAAAAAAACCTATGTAAAAAATGTGCAAACGCCAATGGCAGAAAATGGACATGGTAAAGCAGACCCAAACAATCAAAAGAAAGAAAACACTAATAAGGACAGAAACACTACAGTTGAAGATAAACAAACTACACGTAAAGCAAGTATTACAAAACACTAAATGGGTAATTTAACAGCAGTATTGATTGCAGAAATAATTCATGCAGGTGAAAGAACAAGTAAATACCCACCTATTTAAAAAATAAATACTTATTTTTCATTTGAGACACAAATGTATGATATCCAAAAGAATAGTATTTACACTATTTACACACACACACACACAAACACACAATCACACACACACACACACATACACATATATATATATATATATATATATATATATATATATATATATATATATATATATATATATATATATATATATATATATATATAAATATATATATATATATATATATATATATATATATATATATATATATATATATATATATATATAGGTTATATAAAAAATAAATACATATTCGTATGTATATATTATATATATAAGTATATATATTTATATCTGAGTATATATATATATATATATATATATATATATATATATATATATATATATTATATAGTATGTGTGTGTGTAGTGTTAGCTTTATTGTAGTATTATTTTTGTGATTAACTAGTATTCATTGTAGATGTATTTTTTTAAAACAACATTTACGAAATAGATAATTAAAGCATGTAAATTAATATTTTGATGTAATGCTTATATTTGTTTTACAATATATTAGACATTATGTTTTTATGTGTAAAGTAGGCGTTTTGCTTTAAAAGTCAATACTCATATTTTGCATTACAAGTATACAGGCAATAGTGTACATTTGAAAGTGTTTATGCATTGTACTAAATATCGTTTTCTCTTAGTTAAATAAAGGAAAATTTGGTTATCATTGTTTAACCAAACATAGTGGTTATACGTTATTCTTATGTATGTTTATATATATATATATATATATATATATATATATATATATATATATATATATATATATATATATATATATATATATATATATATATATATATATATGGGGGGAGTGTTACATATGTTTTCACACAATCCAAAAAAAAATATAGAAATGATTTTATGAAGATGTTGTAAGGTGTCGAACTGACTCATATTTGTTTTTACGGTGCTAATACGCTTATGACTAGGTCTTACCAAGAGTAAGTAGGTTAAAGAGAAGTAACGTTTCCTTTATTTAGTATATTAAAATTATGTTATGTCGGTTGTTTCTGTCTATTTTAGGCTTAGGATGGGAAGTTGGGTGAGTGAGAAAATCTGCTCAAATTTTAGACGACCCGAAAATGTTAACCTTGAGTTATGAATGATTATGTTGTCGGTTTTTGAAAATGTTTTTAATATTTTCATTCATAACAATTACATTTTGTCGGTACAACAAATAGAAAAAAAAAACCTATTAAACGTCCTGGGACTTTGGTGTCAACAGTTTTAAAACAGTGTCCTTGTGATTAAATACGCGTTGTTTTTGTTGCAGTAGCGTAAGCGAAGAGAAAAATCAATACGCTGCTAAAAATAGAATTTCAGGAAACCCGTGTCAACACAACCAGCCTTGACACACTTTGAGTGTGACCTTGGTTTAGCTTGACTAGCATACAGGTGTATTTTGTTACAGACCGAAATGTTAAACACAAGCAGGGTGTAAACATGTTTAATATAGCTCATAGAAAGGCTTGTATGACTTTAGGGTTCTATTTTTATTATACTTAACACTACAAACCTATACATTGCGCCTAGGGTTAGGGTTAGGGTAAGGGTAAGAGTTAGAGTTAGGTAAAAAGTTATTAAGGCTAGACCTAGAGTTATTGGAGCAATAGCTAGAGTTAGAGTAACATTTTTAGTTGTGTTAGGGTTTAGTTTTCGGATTAGAGTGAGTGTGATGGTTAGGGTGAAGTACAGAAACCACTATAACTAAAGTTTTACAATTATTAACTTTTAACTCTAAATCCACCGAGCTCAGTGTTTTAGTTTTATCATGTAAAATGGTATTAACTTCTTTAAAATAAAACTACAGACAGATGACTAAAGTCCATAACTAAAAGTGCATGAGACACGGATCTATAATGTTTACAACCGGTGTGTGAGTGTTGATTTAGGGCGAAGGGAGAGGGAAGGAGAGCAACATTGATCGATTGTATGGATTGTTATGGAGGAGTTTCTAAAAATAGCGTACAAAAAAAAAAACACGAGATGTTTATTAGGCTTCTAGACCTGAGCTACATAAGATTTTTTATTTTAATTGGGTTAGTTTAACAGTAGGCCTAGGTGTAATTTTTATTTGTTAATCATACACGTCTAAATTAGAAATTTTTCTAGCAGTCAAGTCAGTTAATCAGTAAATTACTAGGTCTCTAAATCTGAATGCTAGTCTGTCCGTCCGACCGTCGGTCTCTCTGTATGTCTCTATACACCAGCCATTTTACGAAAATGAAACTATTGTTTTTTTTAAGTTAAAACCCTAATATTGTAAACATATTTTCAAAGGCGACAACAACACGGAAGGATTTTACGAAGAAATTAATTTAGAAAACACGGTGTATATGTAGGAATGAAATAGGTAAACACGGTAAATTAAAAAAAAAAACATGATTTTTTTTTTTAAATGTACTGGGGAAAAACACATTTCAAAACTTAACTCAATATCACATTACATTAAAACAATTGAAGCATGTACTTTTACTATACATTGGACAGATGAAGTAGAGTTAATGTTTCTTGATCTTGGTATGAAGAGAAAGGGTGGTCAGCACTTTGCCTAGCCGCCTTCCCTGAGTTAAGTAACCATAAGAGCTAGGTGGACTCAGGCACGTTCAACTGACTTGAACACTGAACCAGGATTCGAACTCGAGACTTTCGGGTTAGCAGCCTTGTGCTCCACGGCATAGGCCAGGCCGTCTCATTATGGCAGTGGTAACTATTGACTAAATATTTTAACATAGAAGAAAGCTGCTACTATTTCAAATAATAATTAGGTTAAAATGTTGTAGGGATTAACTTGGACACCGATTTTGGGCCGTAAAAGTCGATACAAAAAAACAAATCTTAAACACCTGAAGATATAATTATGAAAAATTTACACACTGTAAATGTAACGGATGCCACGCGTTGCTTAATGATGAGTCGGGTTGTTTATTTTTCAAAGTGTTTAATGCTACGAACCAGGAACCTTAAATATATTCCATGAAAACGTATGACACATTGCTTAAAAACACGTTTCTAAATATTGACTCCAGAACAAGTAAAACATCCTGTTTGTTGTAAAAAGGCATTGTGATCTTACTTAGAAATTGTAAAGTTTAAAGGCTGAAGTAAATGCCTTTACAATCCGAATCAAGTAAAAATTCTCTGTTATGTTTTTCACCAAAGAGATTACTCTCCGACAGGTTAATTAAACCAATCATTCCTTCGTCATTGTCCAGGGATTAATAACTTACATGTCAACTACACTTTGGATAATTACAACCCCTCCTTTAACTTAATCTGTATTCAAAACCCTACCTTACCCTACCCTACCCTACCCTACCCTACCCTACCCTACCCTACCCTACACTACCCTACACTACACTACACTACACTACACTACACTACACTACACTACACTACACTACACTACACTACACTACACTACACTACACTACACTACACTACACTACACTACACTACACTACACTACACTACACTACACTACACTACACTACACTACACTACACTACACTACACTACACTACACTACACTACACTACACTACACTACACTACACTACACTACACTACACTACACTACACTACACTACACTACACTACACTACACTACACTACACTACACTACACTACACTACACTACACTACACTACACTACACTACACTACACTACACTACACTACACTACCCTACCCTACCCTACCCTACACCACAACACACCACACCACACCACACCACACCACACCAAACACTAAACTAAACTAAACTAAACTAAACTAAACTAAACTAAACTAAACTAAACTAAACTAAACTAAACTAAACTAAACTAAACTAAACTAAACTAAACTAAACTAAACTAAATTAAACTAAACTAAACTAAACTAAACTAAACTAAACTAAACTAAACTAAACTAAACTAAACTAAACTAAACTAAACTAAACTAAACTAAACTAAACTAAACTAAACTAAACTAAACTAAACTAAACTAAACCTAACTAAACTAAACTAAACTAAACTAAACTAAACTAAACTAAACTAAACTAAACTAAACTAAACTAAACTAAACTAAACTAAACTAAACTAAACTAAACTAAACTAAACTAAACTAAACTAAACTAAACTAAACTAAACTAAACTAAACTAAACTACACTAAACTACACTAAACTAAACTAAACTAAACTAAACTAAACTAAACTAAACTAAACTAAACTAAACTAAACTAAACTAACTAAAACTAAACTAAACTAAACTAAACTAAACTAAACTAAACTAAACTAAACTAAACTAAACTAAACTAAACTAAACTAAACTAAACTAAACTAAACTAAACTAAACTAAACTAAACTAAACTAAACTACAAACTAAACTAAACTAAAACTAAACTAAACTAAACTAAACTAAACTAAACTAAACTAAACTACCCTAACCTATCATACCCTACCCTACTCTACTCTACCCTACCCTACCCTACCCTACCCTACCCTACCCTACCCTACCCTACCCTACCCTACCCTAACCTACCCTACCCTACCCTACCCTACCCTACCCTACCCTACCCTAATATACCCTACCCTATCCTATCCTATCATATCTTATCCTACACTACCCTACCCTACCCTATCCTACCCTACCCTACCCTACCCTACCCTACCCTACCCTACCCTAAACCTACCCTACCCTACCCTACCCCTACCCTACCCTACCCTATCCTATCCTATCCTATCCTATCCTAACCTACCCTACCCTACCCTAATATACCCTACCCTATCATATCCTATCATATCTTATCCTACCCTACCCTACTCTACCCTATCCTATCCTACCCTACCCTACCTTACCTTACCCTACCCTACCCTACCCTAATATACCCTACCCTATCCTATCCTATCTTATCCTACCCTACCCTACCCTACCCTACCCTACCCTACCCTACCCTACCCTACGCTACGCTACCC